TAACTAGCTATTTTCTTGCGGATGACGAGGGATCCGGATAAAAGAGGACCGGATAAGCGAGGCCTGACTGTATATTATCTTTGCGAGGTACATGTGTTTGGGTGGTGAATGTACTGTATGTTTAATGGGTGTTGATTTTACCGTGTATCTCAGGCGTCGATTGCGCTTCAATTGCTTGGTATCTTGGACATACTTTAGCAAACCGTCTTGTTTTGTGTTGTATCTATAAGGTAAAAGAGCACCCAATATGTCACTCGATAACTCAGTCAGACAATCTGTCTGAAAACAATCATGGTTCGCGTGAGACTCGGCTAGAGACCAAACGTTCCACACCTGTAGGAACGCCACACTCTCTAAGGATCAAGGTGCAGATGCAGTTTCTAAACGGTGGGAGGTGAGTAGATCAGACCCACCACCACAAGTGGTCAAAGACCGAAAATCCCATTCGCTGCATCCATCCTTCCCTCGTGCCAGGCCAAGAGTTTCGAATTGTGGGTGACAGCACGCCGGGGAAAAATCCTTCCGCTTCCAAGCAGGATTTAAACCTGGTACCCTCTGTTTCTCAATCATGGTCTTAGACCGTCCCACTAGTAGTGTGCCTGCCCGCTTAGCCACTCAATCAGTAAGTTGGTCATGCGGTTTGATAGTTACTTGGTCACTCATTGCAAGATACCATGGAACTCACGTAGTACATCCTCTGGTAAGACACACTCTTGCTCAGTGCGAACATTGTGCAGAGCGTGGGTGTGTTTTAATCCATCCTGGACATTCATGTATGGCCGACTACGTGTGTTTGGGGGGGGGGGGGGGGGGGGGCTGTCTCTGTATATATTTCCATTTGCCGTAATGACTAAACATTGCAGGAAACCAAACAAATAACATTATGCGCCACCGAGCTGTGGTAACCCCAGTTTCCTGTGGAGAAGTAACTGAAATTGTTCAACCCCTGCCCGAGAATAACATCTTCGGTGTTCCTCACGGGAACTGTCCAGCCCAGCCCTAGAATAACTTGCTGAAGGGTATTTTCCCTACCATTTTGACACCTATTTCAACACGGGTGGGACGATCTACTTAACAACTTAACAACTGCAGTGGTGACAGTAAAGAATGAGGATAGCTTATGGGATGATGCTGGTGAAAGCTGTGAGGATAGTTGTGATGATGCTGATGATGATGCTGATGCTGATGCTGGTGATGATGCTGGTGATGCTGATGATGCTGATGCTGATGATGATGGCAGGTAACATGGCATTACGTATGGTGAAGAGGATGGGTGCCTTCAACGAGTAAAGTGTTGTTCAGGTGTTAATATACGGATGAAATACTATCAGTGCTATCAACCCCCCCCCCCCCCCCCCCTCCTGTATTCCAAGGAATATGTACGTGTGGGAGAACCGTCTGCATACTGAAACTATGTGTGGGGAGCTGTATGACAGTGTGGTAAGCTCTACCCAAGGCTGGATGTAGAGTACTATTTGCTGCAGGGACCCTAGACAACTTGTCCATGCCGCTAAAGCTATATGAGCTGCAGGGAAACCTGTGTAAGACGACTGCTGGATGGACCTTCAAAACGTGGTCTCTGTTACTGGGTAGTCTCGTTATCCAGAGTCATTTGACTGGTACTAGCATCTCCTGATCCTGGTTTCAGTGGTCCTCTAGCATGAGTGGTCGCCTGTTGAGAGTGGTCACCTGTTGAGAGTGGTCCCCTGTTGAGAGTGGTCACCTGTTGAGAGTGGTCACCTGTTGAGAGTGGTCACCTGTTGAGAGTGGTCACCTGTTGAGAGTGGTCACCTGTTGAGAGTGGTCACCTGTTGAGAGTGGTCGCCTGTTGAGAGTGGTCACCTGTTGAGAGTGGTCACCTGTTGAGAGTGGTCACCTGTTGAGAGTGGTCACCTGTTGAGAGTGGTCGCCTGTTGAGAGTGGTCGCCTGTTGAGAGTGGTCACCTGTTGAGAGTGGTCGCCTGTTGAGAGTGGTCGCCTGTTGAGAGTGGTCGCCTGTTGAGAGTGGTCACCTGTTGAGAGTGGTCACCTGTTGAGAGTGGTCTACTGTATGTGTGTGTGAAGCTGTGTATGTGTGTGTGTGTGAAGCTGTGTATGTGTGTGTGTGAAGCTGTGTATGTGTGTGTATGTTGTGTGTGTATGTTGTGTGTGTGTGTGTGTGTATGTGTATGTGTGTGAAGCTGTGTGATGTAAACCAGGCAGAATACCGGTAGTGGCGGTCAATTCTTCAGCCTCGCAAGCTGTTGAATGATGCAATCCCAGCACAAGTACCTGTAGCATTGCGATCATCGCCTCCGGCGATGGGCGTCAAATGGTCAAATGATCAAATGGTCAAATGATCAAATGGTGTGTATGCTAAGCTATGATTGGGCTAAAGCTGTTGATATTCTCCCACTACCAGCTGAGCAATGCTTAGCACACACTGACACCGGCCAGGGTCTGTGTATGCCAGGGTCTGTGTATGCCAGGGTCTGTGTATGCCAGGGTCTGTGTATGCCAGGGTCTGTGTATGCCAGGGTCTGTGTATGCCAGGGTCTGTGTATGCCTGGGTCTGTGTATGCCAGGGTCTGTGTATGCCAGGGTCTGTGTATATGTACATGTCTAGCGGCATACCCATAATAATTATGGGATGGCATGCTGGAATGATGCCGAAATGATGTCGGAATGATGCTGCATGGCATGCTGGTATGATGCTGTATAGCATACTGGATGGCATGTCTGGCTGGGATGCCTGTATTAGGGACTTCAATTGAAAAACCAAATTCGCGAGTTTCGCATAAACGCTAGTTTTTCTAAACCGGGAAGGTGTAAGAAACAACCTGTGAAAATTTGAACCCAAAATTCCAAGGCAATCTAGAGTTATAGTCGATTGAAGATCGGAAAACGGGGGAGAAAGTAGTCACAGAAGTAAATGCAAGTATGTATGTGAGCCGTGTGGTTTCCGTCCAGCACTGCACTATCTGGTACATACATGGCGATACAGGATGTGTGCATGCATGCAGTGTGCACGCATGCCGTGCGCGCCTACTTGCACAAGTCACACGTTTTCACCGTCACTGCTTCTACAGCGTGCGCGCAGTTCACTCGATTTTTTTCGTCTACCACCAGGAAATCGCCGTGGGCTGGTTTCTGTGATCACCTTCCTTCTACCGTGATAAAGCGCGAGCCTCAATGTTCTAGAATCCTCTTGGTTTAGGCTAATTCGAGGCCGCTGAACACGAAAATCGGGTGTTCTTCGTGGGGCCGAGTACGGATCTGGTCGAAATTAGTACTTCGAAGTGCATCCGCGCCAAGCGCGGAGGCATTATTTTTGGAAGCATGGCATGTGTGGCACCATTGGAAAGGTAATGACCTCAGCTACCTAAAAATAGCATCGACAAGGCCGAAAAGGCCGCCGGAGAAGATACTTGGGCCTCGAACTGCATCTCGAACTGCAGTCACGAGGCGCCCATTCACTTTGTACAGGCGAGCTGTGACTGCACTTTTCGCTTTTCTGTGACCGGAACTGAACTCCCTACCTGTATGATGCTGGGTGGCATGCAGCATGGCATGCTGGGTGGCATGATACAATGCAGTGACAGCAGTGGCGTCAGAATGAGCTGTTATAGCTGACAGCTAGTTCATTTCTGCCTGTGCGTGTGACGAAAATAGCACTCGTCTTCATATTCCAGGGAAACTTGACAGCAGGGCATGTGCAGTGCTATTCAGAATTAGCAATCATGCTAGCATGCCCAGGCCATGGTGTACGGGCAGCAAGGTTGCACATAAGACCCACTGTACACATATATCAACCATGATACTGGTACTTCAAACTATACATCACACCCACACAGTGCACAACAGCCACATGCATGTACTGTACACACCCACAGTCAGTGCATGTACTGTACATACACACAGCCAGTGCATGTACTGTACATACACACAACCAGTGCATGGTGTACATACACACAGTCAGTGCATGGTGTACATACACACAGTCAGTGCATGGTGTACATACACACAACCAGTGCATGGGGTACATACACACAGCCAGTACATGGTGTACACACACACAGCCACATGCATGTACTGTACACACCCACAGTCAGTGCATGTACTGTACACACCCACAGTCAGTGCATGTACTGTACATACACACAGCCAGTACATGGTGTACACACACACAGCCACATGCATGTACTGTACACACCCACAGCCGGTGCATGTACTGTACACACCCATAGCAGTGCATGTACTGTACACACCCACAGCCGGTGCATGTACTGTACACACCCACAGCCAGTGCATGTACTGTACACACCCACAGTCAGTGCATGTACTGTACATACACACAGCCAGTACATGGTGTACATACACACAGCCAGTGCATGGTGTACATACACACAGCCAGTGCATGGTGTACATACACACAGCCAGTGCATGGTGTACATACACACAGCCAGTACATGGTGTACATACACACAGCCAGTGCATGGTGTACATACACACAGCCAGTGCATGGTGTACATACACACAGCCAGTACATGGTGTACATACACACAGCCAGTGCATGGTGTACATACACACAGCCAGTGCATGGTGTACATACACACAGCCAGTGCATGGTGTACATACACACAGCCAGTACATGGTGTACATACACACAGCCAGTACATGGTGTACATACATGATTGTATATCAGTCAGGGCAAAACTAGCAAGCAGCAGCAGTAGACATACTTGACAGCTTTAGGGCTATAATTATAGCATAGCCGTCACTAGTTACTAGTGAAAACTGACACCCTGCTGCTGCTGCTGGCTGCTGGTTGATGTGGACGCTACGCACATCAGTGTGCACATTAGCTTAGGCTTAGTAGACGTGTGATCATGTCACACCTGTCTACACCACTGTGTGACCCTGTGTTCTGCACCGGATGCTAAGCTTACATGTTACAGATGTAGATATAGCCACTATGTTCTCGCGAAATCAGTTCACTTTGTTGTTCCTCTCTGTGTGAGTAGAGAGCAGGAGTATTCTTTTGAGTGTGGGGTTAGTTTTTGACTGATCAGAGAAAGAGAGCCTAGTCAGTCTCTGTCTTTGGTGTGTGTTAGCTGGCATTTAATCACAAGCTTTGGTCCATACACTCCTTGCTGTCACTGCCCTCTCCCTAGCCATCATCACCACCTCAGCAGTGTGACTGTGAGAGCTGGTCAGTCAGTCTGCCCGTGATTGACCTCAGTGTGTAGGTTTGAAAGAGGGAGAGAGAGAGAGAGAGAGAGAGAGAGAGAGAGAGAGAGAGAGAGAGAGAGAGAGAGAGAGAGAGAGAGACAGCGCGGTGATTAGATACACTGTAAAAAAAGAGAGTGTAAAAACAGTGGAAGAGATCAGTCTGCAGCAAATAGTCACAGCCAGCGCAATGTCCGCCAACCCGCTACCTGTAGCCCTGGGTAGTGACCAGTTACCTCCGGGAGCAGAGAGTAGTGACCTGCCAGGAGGACTGTCTCTGCAAGCAGACACCGACGATGGCGACGGAGAGAACATATATCTGGCTTTGACTCCCGAATCTCCACCTCCTGAATTGCCCGAGGAAGTCAAAGAGTCTACAATGGCAGCACCACCAGCATCACCACCAGCACCGGGACAGTTTGTAGACAGAAAAGCAGCAGAAGCACCAACAGGAGGACCGTCTCTGCAACCAGACACCGACGATGGCGACGGAGAGAACATATATCTGGCGTTGACTCCCGAATCTCCACCTCCTGAATTGCCCGAGGAAGTCAAAGAATCTACAATGACAGCACCACCAGCATCACCACCAGCACAGGGACAGTTTGTAGATGGACAAGCAACAGAAGCAGCAACAGGACTGCGATCTGTGCAAGCAGATAGGGGTGAGGACGGTGAAGAGAACATATATTTGGCTTTGACGCCCGAATCTCCACCTCCTGAATTGCCCGAGGAAGTCAAAGAGTCTACAGTAGCCCCTCCACCACCACCACCAGCAACAGCATCGCCCGGGACAACCAGGACGCCCGGGGCACAACGGGCACCAAGGGCACCCGGGGCACCAGCAGAAAATGCCCCAGAGCCACGGGCGGCCGCTGACGACGCAGAGAATCTCTACCTTGCCCTGACACCCGAGTCACCGCAAACATCAGCGCTGCCAGCCATGCTAGCTTTGCAGACTGGGACAGACGGAGCGTCACTCCCGCAAGTTGCGACATCACCACCGCCTATGCTGGAACAAAGTTCTAGCAGATCCCTTGCAACGCACCTGTCTGCCGCAAGCCTCACATCGCCAGTCGATACTGTACACATGACGGAGAATGCAAGTTATACATCCTTGCAGAAACTACTAGAGTCGGCGGAGGCAACGGATGATGGTGCACAGGCAAATGATGGTGGTGTGGAGGCAAACAACGGTGTTGTGGAGGCAAAAGATGATGTTGTGGAGGCAGATGATGGATCTGGTCATGCTTCAAACACGGCACAGCGCAAGCATCTGGTGGCTGCCGGTCCACACGAGGCAGACAATTGCACTTCAGCAATACACTCGGCTGAGTTTCATGGCACTTACCCGGATGAACACAGTGTGTCCGATTATGCTGAGCTGGAGTTGTCAGGCACTCCATCCGATTATGCCACCGTGGACTCCCCCTCCCCCGCAATGATGCCTGCTGCCGATCCCATACCTGTTGCTACCAGCCATGCGCTAGTACAGCAGTCATGTGACTATGCTGCGGTGGAGCCTGTAGCGGCTAATGCACCGGTGGCGGTGGAGTCTGTAGCGGCTAATGCACCGGTGACTAGTACGGCGACGATGGCACCAGACAGCGGCACATCGGGATACGCTAGTCTGATAGTGACAAGCACTACCGCTAACGCTGCTACCATTTCCACTTCGCATGTCGTTACACCCGCCACTTTGCATGCCGACACATCCGCCACTTCGCGTGCCGATACATCCGCCACTTCGCATGCCGCTACTTCTACCACTACTACAACTGCCACTGCTGCTGCTCCGTACCCTGCTAGCGCTGCTGCTGCTGCTGCTGCTCCGTACCCTGCTAATGCTGCTGCTGCTGCCGCTCCTTTTACCGTGGATGAAAGCAAGGAGCCATGCTATGCAACTCTGCAAGCTGACGCCACCGCTGGTCCTCCTGTGCCCGCTAGCAAGCATACGCCGTCACGCGCCGCCCAATCAGCTACCGCCGACTCCTCCACACTCGCTATGGTAACTACACAGCCAACTACTGAAGGAAGCGCGTCTTACAAGGCTTCACTGTCCACAAGCCGATTACGCCAGCCCTCATCACTACCTCTCGGTAAACCATCGAACACGACGTCATCGCCAGCAGCTGTTCCATATACT